CTGCTTCGTGAGGTGAGCAGCAAGAGGAGATGGTGACCTTGAAGGTGAGTGGCGAGATGGTGGCTTGCGGATCTTCTTCTCGGACCCGGTCAAGATCCGAACCACTACTAGACTAGACTAGTCGTTGAGTGACGTAGTGGTTTTTTCTATTAGTTGCGATGCGAACAGGCGTTTACTTATGAGATTTGTTGAGTAGGCTTGCGTTAGTTGTCCGCTATAAGATAGCTAGTTTTGGGGCTTTCGACATAAAAAAGCCGATCCGGCTTGGCTTCGCTATCGCTCATGACTTGTATTGTAGTCCTAGTCTTGTAGTCGGCCTGGAATGCCTTTGTAGTTTTTCTAATGCTAATGCCTTCTTCCTTCATTCATTTTCTTTTAGTTGCGGTAGCTCCCGCGCCAGCAAGATACAGACGGCGAAGCCAAAGCAATACTAAACGAGCAGCCGCCCTAACGAGACTCTTAGTCAAGCCTAAACGTCCTTATTGAAAACTAAAGCGCTAACGAGCAAGCAAGAAAAGGCCCCTTCCTATATCGAGAGATAGGCTAAGGCGCCTTTACTATCTAATAGTGGGCCCCTCTTTCCTTTTTTGTTATTGAAAAAGGGACAACTTTCTCGCTTGTTGAAGACGATAGCTGTGGGGCGCATGCAAAAGGTGGAAAGAATGTGAGGACTCCTAAAACCCTAACTTCTCTAACTCAAGTTCAGAAGTAAATTTTATCATTTACCTAGTAATAATCTTATTTATCCCCTTATTTTGAAATTTTAGAGGGGTAAAGCACATTTTTAATAATTTTTTTTGTTAAATCAACTTTCAAATTCTGATTATCAATTTTAAATTAGATTTAAGTCAATTATTTAAATTTTATTCATTTGATTAGACATAATCGATTTCCTAAAATAAAGGTCGTTATTTTTGCTATTAGTTAAAAATCCTAAATCCCTATGCCTATATATTTAATTGGTTACAAGGCTATATTTGTCTACAAAATATTTTAGAATTTAATGGAAAAAATCAATTAGCCATTATTGCAATATTTCATAAGTTTGGATATTTTTTAAAACGCATTATTAATTTTAGTTATTCTTCCAATTGCCTCAATAATTATTTAAGTGCACAGATGAGGCTTCAAACTCATGACTTCTTAGTAAACAATAAGTATCAATTACAGTCAAGGTAAGTTCATGTTGGCGTGAAATTTGAACCTTTTAGCTAAACACTTAATGTATTCTTCGGTTATAAAGACTTTTTTAGATCACGTATATGCAAGTTCTAATTAGGTAAAAAAAAAAGTTAACGACATTAATGATAATCTTCACGAATTGTGGATTCAAATCCCACCCTGATTTGAGTTCTAATACTTTTCATGAGAAAGAAAAAGGAATCATGAAAAAGTTGAAGAGTAAAATGATGCCCTAAGGCCCATTCAACATGATTCCACCTTGACATTCTTGGCAAGGACAAAAGCTAAAGCTTTGCAATCCAAAAGCAAAAAGCTAAAGCTTAGCTTTCAATGGGTTGTCAAATTCTTTATCCTTCAACAAAATGAATCCACCACTAATCACTATGAATTCATCTAATGGCCACTAAGGTACTTGAAAAAGAGACTTTAAAACAAAACAAGTTAGAATCTCAACAACTTAAAATATTAAAATTTTGGTGAGTGTGAGATTGACCACTTAATTTACTTGATCTAAATTCTAAAATATTTAAATTTAATCCAATTGTGATAGGATTTTAAGGATTTTTTACATCCCTAATTTAGAGAGTAACTACATGGGTTGACCTAATAATTGGAGAGCAAAGTAGAGCAATAGATTCAAATTTTCATAGTGATCATGTTTATGCAAAAAACTGGTACGACCTGGTCAAGGTCGGCCACGTGGAAGAACTCGGCCTACTCCAGGTATGATGGTTGGAAGAGCTTGACCTGCTCTAAGTATGACCGCTGGAGGAGCTTGGGTGTCCTGGAAAAGAAATGACCAGCTCAAGAGGTCGAGGTGGCTAACTGGAATGAGCTAAAAGACCACTTGGTGAGAAAAGACCTGCAAAAGGAAATAAACACTCCGACGCTCAAGTCAATTTTGAGTCCGACCTCAATATGAAGATCAAGCTAGAATACTATACCTGACTGAAGAACGAAGTGCCCTATTTATAGGTTGAGGTACCCGACAAGGAATCCGACCAGCGGTTGAGTATGTCGGGACCAAGGTCAGTGTGTCGAGAGTATCTATTCCAGTTCATACTCTTGTCATATGGAATTTGGCTAAAAATGAAAAGTCGTTCTTCCCTTGAATGATCTTCAAAGAAAACCTTCAGATCGGCATTCAAGGAAGACCATGATGAGGTCGACCATTAGGCAAGACCTTTAGGTCGACCCTTAGGGGTGCTTTCAGGTCGACCACCAAGGAAGACCATGGTGAGGTCGGTTCTTAAGGAAGACCTTCAGGTCCTGAAGGCCTCAGGTTGGCCATCAAGGAAGACCTAAGGTCGGCCACAGACCTCAGGTCGACCACCAGGAAAGACTTTCTAAATCAGACCTTTCTCTATCCTGCACAAACAAATCAAATATCCAAGATATAATTTGCTTTTCAAGTTTTTTTTTGGCATGAATTTAGCCTTAAGAGTTAAAATAGAATTGGAACAACAACTATATACATGATGACAAAATTCTCTTGTACTTTTAGGAAGAGAAAAAGAATTTGGGGAGTGATGAACAAATTTTGGATAGTGTTGAGTGGTAAAACTTGGAAACTTCTATCATATCCAAAGCCACAAAAATTGAAGTCTATCAACAACTGAACTGCTACAAACTTCAGTAAACAATTAAATTGAAGTAGCGCCTAGGCGCCGCGCTACAAAATTCCACCTCAAATATACATAACGCCTAAGTGCCACCTTCCCTAGATAGCTGCTCTTTCCCATGGAGACAAAACTTCACTCTTACACATTTTGAAAAATCAAAAGATTCAATCATGTAATCTTAGTCAACAAGGGTATTCTTGTCCACCACACTTTCTGACTTTTTTTTTCACCCCTCCAGACAATCGAGTCATTAATTCTTTAAAAACACTGTGATGAACCATATTAAATAAGAAAAATATTTTCGGATATAGTTTTATTTTGACTACCCATCTTATAAAATTAATTTTCTTAGAGAGATATATATTTTTTATTTTATGAAATATTAGAAAAAAAAATCTAAGCATTAAAAAATAATTTGAGTTTTCATTACATTAGCATCATTCTAACAAAACGAGATTTATTAAGATAGATATTAATTTTTTAATCTTTTTTATTATTATTATTATTATTATTATTTTGAGTTTAGGTAGGGACTTGAACTTTTGATTTTATAGTGAAAATATATAATTTAAATAATTTTTTTTAGTATAAAAAACACGGAGATAGAGAATAGGCAATTCAGTTTATACCGTTTGGTAACGTTCCCGTTTCTTGTTCTCGTTTCCAAATTTTATTAAAAAACTTAAGTATTTTGCAACTAAATACGTTTCTTATTTCTCAATTTTTGGAACATTCTCAAAATTATATAAAATTTTGGAAACAATAAAACAAGTTTCTTGTTTCTAGTTTCCGTTTCCAATTTGTTACAATACATAAATATAAATATTATTTGATCACCATTGAATTCATGGGTGCTGGACTATACAATTATATATTTTTTTGTTAAAAATTAAGAAAAAGAAACAAGAAACGAAGACGTTATCAAACGACCTTAATTACTGAGCCAAACTCATATTGACTTGCTTTAACTAGTTGAGTGTTAGACAAATTTTTTTGTTACGAATATATTATTGTTACATAATCTTGTTTTCTTAAAAATGCCATACACAAAAAAACATGTTCTTCGCACAAAATAATAAAAATAATAATAATAATAATAATAATAATAATAATAATAATAATAATAATAATAATAAATCCATTTTTTAAGTTTGCTTTCCTTTAAAGCAAGTGGTGGAAAAGAAATATTTTACCTTCATATCACATCACGTTTTATTCTTATTTGGGTAATGATTAAACGTATTTCTAATTTGGATTATTAAAAATATATATAATTCAAATATGAATATTTCACCATATTTCTTTATTAATCTTTTTTTAATAATGAAAAGTCAAAACCCTCCCATATTTAAGCTAAAATCTTTAGATTGACTTTTGGAAATAAAAAATACATGTATAAATAACATGAAACAAAATTATTACTATCAATTCGAACATAACTTACCTAGTCAAAACATTAACTGGCAGGAGAAATAAGATTTTTTTTGGACAAGGGATCAGGGTGGTTTTTCTTGGAGATGGAAAATTCGTCCGTCGGGTTTTATCAATTTGCAGACATATCTTTATTTAAGAACAAAGAACGAGATATTCACATTAACGAAAGGAAGGAGGGCAAAGAGATGAGCACTTATCAAGCAACTTTCCTTAACGAAGTCATCTTGGAAAAATGTGAAGGATTTTCACTCGTAGAGAATATCGAAAATGCAACACGAAACCTTACCAAAACACCCATTAGTTTCTTTATTCAAAGATTTAAGAGATTAATTTAAGAGATTGTTACATAAGGAAACACAACTACAATTGAATAAAACAATGGTGGGTCTTACCTAACAAGATGACACGAGAGAGTGAAAAGCTTCTTGCCACAAAGTGGTGGGCCCCACTTTATGCTTGGAAATGAGAATATCCAAAAACATTTTATGGGCAATTTTTTTCCTTTTCCCTTTTGGATAGGAATCTCAAGGGCACTTCCACACTCTTCTCCCCAATAATGGTAGAAAGTTGTGACCTTAAAACATCTAAAAGCAATATCTACAGCTTCAAACTATGGCCTAAGGAGGAGGAGTTTCCAAGTTTATTTTGAGTGCACTAATTTGGGTCAGAAATCAGTTAGCTAAGCTTCAATGAGAGTGGTTATGTCCTACTCTGACGTGGCATTCTAGGTGTCATGATTACGTCTCGGTTCGACTTTATTAAGGCTTGACGATCCTTAATCGTATTGTCGAAGAGTCGTCCATCGGGACTCTCGGCGTAGCAAACGTAATAGCAACTCACGCATGCATGGGGCAGCGCCATTGAGATCCTTGTCTGTGTAATTCAAAATGGAAGAGTTGAGTTGATATGAGATGAGTTAGATAAACAGCTCTATTTGAAATGAGATATCAAGCAAGGAAGAAGCACAAACCATTAAGTATCCGATGATGAAGCTTAGCAAGGAAATGGTGGCTGTGAAACCACGGTGCACTGTAAAAGTCCAAGTAGCTATGGCAATGACGCAGATGGAGCCGCTACAAACCCCTGTGAGGAAGCAAATCGAGCTCGTTATGTCTGAGTCGACGATTGGTACCATGTTTGTCATCTCGAAGAGCTTCCAAGTGTCTTGCGATGCCCGCACGAAATCTTTTCCATACGATCCTATCTGATAAGATCATTTCCATCACCGATCATTTCGAGATTTGATCATCAAGTAACAATATGAAATGGACATGAGCATTGTCTAGCTTAACAGATCCTTGAGATCATATGACACAATCAAAACTGACAGCATCCTAAACAAGAGAGACTTGAGTTCTAGTCTATAAAGAGCAATGAAAATGGAGGAAACAAACAATACCTGCACAAAGGCCCAACTATTACCACGTCGGAAGATCGAGTTCATGACATGGAGACAACAATGAGCGCAAGAAAACATGAACTCATCTTCCCCCTCGAGCAAATTCAGACCCCGGGCGAGTATTCGAAGAGCTTCGATGGTTGGCACAAAGAGAGAACCAAGAGAAGCACTTCCTAGGTTTCTAGTCAAGGCTCTTTGTAGGCAAAATTTAGTATTGCACTGCATTCCTCTAAGATAATACAGAGAGATCACCCTACTAACAGTTATATTAGCAACATTTCTCATAACCTCAGCAGTCCAAAGCAAGCTAAGTACTAAAGCAAGTATAGTCAAAGGGGGGAAATAAAAGTTCAATGCTCCAATCACAGCCAAAATCCAAAGAGACATCCAAAGAAACCCAGCCCCAAGCATCCAGTACGTTGGCTGATTCAAGTCGGGAAACTTGCAAACAGGCTCGAGCGATTTGACGAAAACCTTTGAACAAAACCCGATTCTCTGGGAAACCCAACAGGCATATAAACCATTTCCAATAGCAAAAGCAAGAAAACAGACTCCCACACCTTCTGTGGCAGGCATCTGAAAACAAACTAGGAGAATTCCAGCTGTTAAGGACATTGCAAAGGAACACCATAGAATGAAATGAACCATGAATCTAGGCCACAACCTCACAGCCTTCTGCCAAGCAAATGCAAGAGTAATGCTCAAAACAGATGCAACTTCAACTTGTGGGAGGAAATACTGAAGAATCCTCTTCTCTTTTCTCTTTATAGAGTCTGATGCATATAACAGCCCTTGAATCCCTTTGAAAACAAGGAAACAAACCAGCCCAACAGCCAAAACGAAGTGCAGAACAAACAGAAACAGAGATATTTTATTTGTGTATGCTTTTGAATTCAGGTTCACCTCTGCAGGTTGCTGCTTGCCAACAAAAGAATGGGGCAAAATAATTAAAAACAAAAAAAAAGGATCAAACTTGCAATTATCTTCATTGAAATAACAATTTACTTTCAAAACTTTAGTATGCAAAATTTAGTCCTTTACAATGTAAAACCCCCTTTAGGTGTAATGGAAGTTTTTACATATATAGATCGGCAAATTGCTCGATGAACAAATGTATTTTTAAAGTGCAAGGACTAGATATTGACAGAATTTTCCACTATATAGCCACGTATCAAAATCCAGGGACTACATTTTACCAATTTTAAAGTTTATGAACTAAATTATTACATGCTAAAGCACCCGTCGGAATGTATTTTCTAGCATAGTTTGTTCTAGTAAAGTCTAGAGGAAGAGAGATATTTACCTGTGGGGTTGAAATAGAGCGAGGCACAGGAGACTGATGAAGGTGGCCGGAAGGGCCGGCGGAGGGCGGCCGAGGAGAAGGAGTGGCAACTCTGCCTCCACCGTTGATGATGACTCTCAAAGGGTTCGTTGGATTCAACCTATGCAACATTGCCACGTGCAAATCTCCCGGATTATCCCTCTCCATCACCTGTTCTTGAGGCAAAACACCTAATTTTTCCCCTTTCTCCACATCCTCCACTCTCCCCTCTTCTGGTAATTTCCTCCCATTTCCCTCTCTCTCCTCTTCCTTCCTCCTCTCTGTTTCCCTCTCCTCC